ATAATGAAGAGTATTCCAAAATGAATTCTTAAGCCGTATTAAGTTCGATAACGGCTAATATTGGAGTCTCATCTCAATGAAATGGCATAAGTTTAAAATGGCATAATCATCACTCTCGCTACTATAAATTTGCAGATTCTGCAAATCGTTAATCTGCAATCCAGTCACATGCAAACGAACAATATCTGATCTGCAGTTACTTTGCATCCTCACAGTTGTAACAGCTGCGAGTTCGATCATACTCTACACTTTTTGCAAATGTCGAGAAGCACCAAAAGCAGCTCAAGTATTCGCTGAAACTGATATTGGCATTAACAATAAAGTCTGGTATGTCAACAGTTCTTGACTTATAAATAACTTCATCAGAATCATTCACGAAATTTGCTCATGATAATGTAATTTAATGCTTTTTCGTTCCCAAAAAATTGGTTCCTACTACAGCCTATGGCAGTGAGTAAACAATGTTCAGTAAATAATTTCATGATTTTCGGAACAGCCAGAACATCGTTCTGTTTAAGGGACACGCCAACCTTTATGCCGTTGGTGAATTCGTCATCTGCGGACTGTTCACAAATCCATCAAATGTGGAATGCTACGGCTACGATGCTCACCGAAAACACCTCGATATTCTCCTCTCTGGAATCATCACCAAATAAACAATTCGCCACTATGCCTACGGTAAGCCAAAGGGCGATCGGAGAGATATTTTTTGCAGAATTGATCTATCGACTACAGATCGAAAATCTGAACTTGCTGTAGCCTTTAGCGGATATTATGTATAATCTCTCACGTATAGTCTGAGAAGACATTATCTGGAATTCAAGAGACTCTATTCATTTTTAAGGTCATTCACTAATAAACCGACATTCCATTTATTCCAAAAAATGTGACCATTTCAAAAAGTATTCGTCTGAAAGCGATCGGTATCGTTTATCATTTACAGAATTCAGCATCGAATCGAAATTCCATTCTTCCTCCACTTCCACCTCGAGCAGCAGACTATGTGAATATTATCAGTCCAGCGAAATCAGTTGATAATATCCTTCTGAGAAGCCCACCGCCTCCTTCGTTCACCTCATCAGCACCCCGTACGACACAAACGCTCGGTAGACCGGTACCAAGACCGAAAATACTCATCACTCGTCGACCGGTGATCATAATTATCATTTAGTACTAGCAGTTTGCTTTCTGATAGCACCCGAAAATCTCAAATTCATGAACACATCGTATATTTGAAACAATTGAATTCTTTCGCTGTTCTAACGCTATCATTTCATCAATTCATTGCAAGATTCTCCGAATAACTCGAAGTTGGATCTTCAAGGACTTGAGTCAGTTTACACTCAACGGAAACTGATTTTGGATTAGTCGAAAAACATCTTCAATGTGGAATTTTAGATGCGGAATGTTCCAGGAACTGTTCTACGTCATTGATGCAAACATTTCATTTTCAGAGTCAATGCCCATTACTGCTACAGTCACCAGTACGTCCACCTCCGCTGGTACCGCAATCCGAGTCACTCTCAAACATAAATTATCAAATGCCTTATCGTGACCGTCATCAAAATGAAAATGAATTGCCGCAACTGCATGAACTAAATGGTTACACCCTGTCAAATAAACTGAATCAATCGCCTCATCGACTCATATTCTCAACTGAAGTGAGTTTATCCTTACAGTTTTGGTGGATTTACGCTGGCCTCCATCGATAATATTGGAAA